AGGTGTCGGGGTGGGGGTTCTCACGTCTGTGGGTCCGGTCTGTCTGGGGGCCCGCAGGACGTGTGCGGGGTGTGTGGGGTGTTTGAGGGTCCGGATGTGCGTCCCGAGGTCGGAGCGTCGGACTCTCCTGTGTCCAGTTGTTGGGAGGGGTGGGAGGCCGCGCCCTGCTGTTCAGCCCCTTCGCCTCCACTGGGCCGCGTTCCCAGGGACGTGCAAGAGGACGCTCAGGTTAGGAGACCCGAAAGCACAGGCAGACAGGACCCGCCACGCCCGCTCCCAGCCCTGGGCACCCCCACCCCCGTTTCCTTCCAGTCCATTTTCCGAGGCAGTTTTTGGCCCTGGGGACCGTCACCGATGCCTCCCACGCACGCTTTCTTCCCTGAAGGGAGACGCCGCTGCGCCGGGCCTCTCGGGGGTCCCCCCAACCCGGGTCCCGGGCCCGCTGGCCCCCCGCAGACGCCGCTACACGCTGACTCCAGCCAGGCTGCGCTGGGACCACTTCAACCTCACCTACAGGTGCGCCCTGGCTTGGCCCTGGGGGAGGGGGCGCGGCCGGCCCCCGCTGAGCTCGCTCTCCCTGCAGGATCCTCTCCTTCCCTCGGAACCTGCTGAGCCCGCGGGAGACGCGGCGGGCCCTGGCTGCCGCCTTCCGCATGTGGAGCGACGTGTCCCCCTTCAGCTTCCGAGAGGTGGCCCCCGAGCAGCCCAGCGACCTCCGGATAGGTGGGCGCCCGCCCCCGCCCCGGCCCGGCCGTGCGCGCCTGGCCTCTCAGCCCTGTGCTCCCCTCAGGCTTCTACCCGATCAACCACACGGACTGCCTGGTCTCCGCGCTGCACCACTGCTTCGATGGCCCCACGGGGGAGCTGGCCCATGCCTTCTTCCCCCCGCACGGCGGCATCCACTTCGACGACAGCGAGTACTGGGTGCTGGGCCCCACGCGCTACAGCTGGAAGAAAGGTGACCGTCCAGGCTGGCCTCCCGGAGGCCTCTCCTCCGCAGCGCAGTGGGCTGCCGCGGTCGGGCTTTGGGGCAGACGGCAGGAGGGACCTTCCGGGGTGGTGGCTGCTACTGGAGTCGAGCAGGCAAGGAGGGGAGCCCGTGGGAGCCCCCAGTCCCGGCAGCCCTGAACTCCCTTTCCCATCCCCCTGCGACTCTGGAGCGGGAGCAGGAGCTGCATTCCTGGGGGCCGAGCTCACCGCCTGGGCCCAGAACATTCTTATCTTTCCGTGGCTGCGGCGGAGGGCGGCTCCGCGGCTGCGCTCCAGCAGATGTGCCGGGCCTTGGGGAGCTGGCCCACGGGCGGCGGGGCTGGGCCCGGGGCTCCCAGGCGCTGATCCCCGGGGCCCGCAGGCGTGTGGCTCACGGACCTGGTGCACGTGGCGGCCCACGAGATCGGCCACGCGCTGGGCCTGATGCACTCACAACACGGCCGGGCGCTCATGCACCTGAACGCCACGCTGCGCGGCTGGAAGGCGTTGTCCCAGGACGAGCTGTGGGGGCTGCACCGGCTCTACGGTGAGTGCCCTTGTCGGGCGGGAGGGCGGGGATCGGGCGGTCCTGAGCCAGGCCGTGCTTCCCACGCTCCCGGCAGGATGCCTGGACAGGCTTTTCGTGTGCGCGTCCTGGGCACGGAGGGGCTTCTGCGACGCTCGCCGGCGCCTCATGAAGAGGCTCTGCCCCAGCAGCTGCGACTTCTGCTACGGTGATGCCCAGGGGCCGGGACAGGGCTGCGTGGGGGCTGGGTCTTGGCTATGGTCTGGGCTCCCACGGGCCGGGACGGGGCTGCGTGGGGGCTGGGTCTTGGCTATGGTCTGGGCTGAGGGGGCTCTTCCCTTACCCGGAGCAGAATTCCCCTTCCCGACGGTGGCCACCACCCCACCGCCCCCCAGGACCAAAACCAGGCTGGTGCCTGAGGGCAGGAACGTGACCTTCCGGTGCGGCCACAAGATTCTCCACAAAAAAGGAAAAGTGTAGTAAGTGGGTGCCCTGGCGGGTCCTCAGGGTGGGCAGCCTGGGGCCCTGGGGCAGGGGTGCAGGGCAGGCAGTGGGTGGAGGCTGTGCCTGCAGGAGACACCCCGCCCCCCTGCAGCTGGTACAAGGACCAGGAGCCCCTGGAGTTCTCCTACCCCGGCTACCTGGCCCTGGGTGAGGCACACCTGAGCATCATTGCCAACGCCGTCAATGAGGGCACCTACACCTGCGTGGTGCGCCGCCAGCAGCGCGTGCTGACCACCTACTCCTGGCGAGTCCGTGTGCGGGGCTGAGCCCGGCTGATAAAGCACTTTCTCTCTGATGTCCTCTCGTTCATTCTTGGGAGGGCAGCGGGCAGTCTGGGCAGGTGGACACCCCAGTCCCTGGTCCACCAAGAGGTGGACGTCCTTGGGGCCAGGCACCCCCTGCTTTCCTGCACAGCAGACGACAGATACAGCACAGGACAGGACAGGCTTTGCCAAGGTGGCCCCTGGAAAAGTGGGATAGTGGAGGCCCCAGTGCCGGGGACAGCACGTGGGGTAGCCCCGGAAGCCTGGGTTCTGTCTAGGGCTTGCTCAGAGATGGGGGAGGGAGGCAAGGGGAGCTTCCGGAAGGGAAGCTCAGGATTGGGATGGGTCTCCAGGATCTTCTGCAAGGGGATGTGGATGGGGGCTGGGAGGATTGGCACAGGGTGGGGGACCACCTTGCCAGAGTGGAGGCCCCCCGGAGATAGGAGCACCCCTCCTGCCTAGGGAAGAGACTGGCCCACGTGGGGTCAGAGGCCACAGCCACCCACCCCACCCTCTTCCCCTAGAGCCTGGTGGTCTGCGACTCCCCTCCCACACACGGTCGCGGGCTACTGAGAGAAGAACACGGGGAGCTTTCCTCCAAGAATATTTTAATACATTTTAAAACTCGTAACAACCTTGTATAAAAACCTGCTGAGGCTGCCAGAATACCTGGGGCTGGGGGTTGGGGGCCTGTGTGGACAGGGCTGGTCTGGACGAGCGAGTTGGGGCAGGAAAGCATCACTCATCCCAACACAGACACAGGTCTCCAGCTCCAAAGATGAAACAATCGACCCGACCCCCACCTGCTCCAAATCACGGCCCAGCCAGCCCGGTGTGTCGAGAGTGGGAGAGGGCGTGTGGGGGTTTGTGCTGCCCCAGGTAGGTGCCCGCAGATGCCCACCCTCTCCTCCCTGGGCAAGTCAGGGAGACCTGAAAACACAGCTCTTTCCTCCACAACAAGGAAAATGATTTAATTCTACAAATTTACAAACCAAAATACAAAAACAAAACGTGGAGCACGAAATAAGATGAGGAGTTCTGAGTCTCATGGCAGCTCCAGCCGCAGTAGCCGCGCCCGTGGTCCCGGCTGAGTTCTCCCCATGACGGGGTCTACTGTGACCTTCAGAACTTGAGGCTGAAGCCGGGGCCCGCGGCTGAGGCCCCCTGGTTTGTGGTGGTAAGGTGGAAGCCCGTCTCCTTCAGGTCGTCGTCACCCTAGGACGAGTCGGCTACCGTGAGGACCCTGCCCAAGCCAGCCCCACCTCTGGGCACGCCCCACCAGCCAGGCCCCTCACCAGCTGGCTATAGCCCAGGCCTCCCTCAGGGGGCCTCGGGCTGGTGCCCCGCTTCACACGCTGCTGCTCACTCTTGGCGGGCCACGTGGGGAACATGGAAGGATCGATGGGGAGGGGGGTCTCGCGGAAATACTCGTGCTTGAGGCCATCCTCAGCGCTGATCCTTCTCCCGGGAAAGTAGGTCAGGAACCTGGGGGGAGAGGACCAGAGGCCCAGGAGGTGCTCCAGTGCTCCACTGGGTCCCCCAGAGATGGGCTGTGTTGGGACAGGGCTCAGGGCATGGGGCACCAGGCACCAGAACAGTTCTGGAAAGTGCTGAGCCAGCAGGTGGGCCTGGGACCAGGAAGCCACCACTATGGCTCGGGACCTCCCGCCGCCCGGCTGCACGGGGCTCACTTGTTCATAAGGTCGAAGCCCTGGTCTGAGAGCAGGGCCCCGAAGCGCTTGCGGAGGTTGTTGTAGGGGTACTCGCTGAAGGTCATCTTCTTCACTGCGGGGAGCTCGTTGTAGCCGGGCCAGATTTTTTCACTGGGGGTCCCCAGGTCCTGAAAGACAGAGGCGTTTCAACAGCCACGCCACGTGGCCCATGGTGTTGGCACCTGTGTCCCAGTAGAGAAGACAAACCACCAGGAGGGCTCTTGGTGGCCCCGGTCCCCATCTCAACCCAGCACCTGGGTGCCCCCCAGCCCCACTCCTGAGGCTCCTCCACAACCCCACAGCACAACTGCAGCGGGGCCCAGACCCACCTTGAACACTTTGTTGATCTGGTCGATGTCCGACTTCCCTGGGAACAGAGGCTTCTGAGTCAGCAGCTCCCCGAAGATGCAGCCCACCGACCACATGTCGACGGCCGTGGAGTATTCCTACGAGGACAGGAGAGGCGCTCAGGAGGGCCAGGGCCCGCGGAGCTGTGGGAGACCGCATGGGGGGCAGGAGAGGCTCTCAGATGCCCAGGACTCACCTTGGCACCAAGCAGCAGCTCTGGGGCGCGGTACCACAGGGTCACCACGACCGGGGTGTAGGCCTTCAGAGGAGATCCGTACTCCCGCGCCAACCCGAAGTCACCCACCTGCAAGGACAGACGGGCGGCTGTGGATGGGCCGGGCAGGTCTCCCTGGGCTGGGCCGCTCGGGGGGTGGGGGAGGCTCACCTTGAGGATGCCGGCGTGGCTCAGCAGCAAGTTGGACGTCTTGAGGTCGCGGTGCAGGATCCAGTTGTCGTGCAGGTGCTTCACCCCCCGCAGCAGCTGGATCATCAGGGTCTTCACCTCCCCTGGGAGGGAGGGAGACAGGCTCCCGTGTGGACCCGACCGCCCCCAGCCCAGGGCATTTAGGGTGGCCCACTCGCCTCAGCAGCAACAGAGGCTTCTCAGGGCTTTCCCTGTGGACGCAGCCGGCCCTCCCTGCAGCAGTGTCACCGCGGGGGTGACCAGGACACTGCTCCCGCTCGTGTGCCAAGAGGCCTGGGGCGCGCTGTACCTGGCAGGAAGGGCTGCTTCATGGTCTCCATCAGGCTCTTGAGGTCGTGCTCCACGTAGTTCATCACGATGTAGATCTTGTCCATGTTGCTGCCCACCACGATCTCCTGCAGGGCATGGCTCTGTGGGCACCTCAGGGCCCCCCAACCCCCGCCACCACCTGCACCCGGGCGCAGATGCTGAGGGACAGTAGGACCTCCAGTGCCACCCGGGGGGCGAATGCTTGCTTCTGTGTGGTCTGTGAAGGGCTCCGCTAAGCGCAGGGAAGCACCTGGCCCCAGGACAGCACCAGGACAACATGGGGCCGTGGGAAAAGCCTTCTACCCGGGGCTGTGCGCGGTGGGGCCATGCTCACTCTAACGGTGACGATGTTGGGATGCTGGGCCTTGAGGATGGTGTTGATCTCCCTCAGCGACGTGATCGGGAAGCCCTCCTTCTCCTTCTCCATCTTCAGCCGCTTCAGAGCCACAATTTCATCTGTGAAGGAAACAGACGGCACTGAGAGGCATTCTCAAAATCACGGCACCAACAGTGGTTTTGTGGACTTGCTCAGTGAGGATCACAGGCAGTGCCCAAAGTGCATTTCACGGAGGGGGTCTCGTTCTAGGTGGCGGCACGTGGGCACCAGGAGAACGCCCAGCCGAGGTCATGGCAACACCAACGGACCAACGGCTTCCACACTCTCAACGCACCACGGACACCCACAGCCACCTACAGCCACCTGGGATCCCAGCGGCCACGCCGACTCCATGTCAACTTCCCCAACAGAGCTGGCCTTACCTGGGATCCCAGTGGCTGACTCCCCAAGAGTCCCCGGCTCACACACCTGCTGGGCGGGACGCTGGGAATGCAAACCTGCAGACCAGCCCTGGCGCAGACCACTCCACGCGCTGGGTCTCGGCCCTGTGGGGCAGGCCGCCTGCTACTGCGAGGGAGTGGCAAAGCCCCAGGGCCAGGCTGACCTCTGGCTTCTAGAGACGCTGAGAGGTCCAACCTCCAGTAGCTGCTCAGGTGAGGCAGGACCTCTCGGGCGGCCAGGCCTTGCCCCACTTCCCCTTGTCTTTGTGGGGTGAGCCGGGACTCCACCCACCTGTTTTCTTATCTTTTGCTCTGTAGACCACTCCATAGGTGCCCTCCTCGATCCTGTTCAGGCACTGGAACTCCTCGACGCTCCGGCAGCCCTGGGGAGGAAGCGGCTATGTGAGGTCTCAGTGGCCATGCCAGCTGGTAGAAGGGCGGCTGCGTCCACGGGCACGGCACACCTGGCGCAGGGCGGGTGCAGGGCAGAGCTGTGGGACTGGGCAGGGGGTAGGGCCAGGAGCAGCTCAGTTCTCAAAGTCTGTTTCCTTGCAAGACCATGTGACACTTTATTATGAAACAAAACCAGTGTGAACAAAAGGCCATCCCAGCCGGGTGTGAGGGCTCAGGCCTGTAACTCCAGCACTTCGGGAGGGCAAGGCAGGAGGATTGCTTGAGCCTAGGAGTTCAAGACCAGCCTCGCCAACACAGCAAGACTCTGTTTTCTTTTCTTTTTTCTTTTTTGAGATGGAGTCTCGCTCTGTTACCCAGGCTGGAGTGCAATGGCGAGATCT